TTTTATCCAGTTAAAATTGTTCAATTCCTACGCTGTGAAGGTACATTGAATCGCAATTCACAAATGTTGACCGCAAAAAAAAATATTAATACTTGATATTTATTGCTTTATTTTTTGTGTTGAGGACCTCAGAAGTCATGGAGGTAGTCTGATCACAGCAGTTCTTGGGCCTTCTTCGTCACCTGTTGAGTTGCAGATTTGTTGGGCACTAGTCCTGTTATTTCTCGTTTCTGTGGCTCTATTTCTATATTAGGTCTGCATTTCCTCACACTTCATTTTCGCCCTGTTTTCCTTACGCTGCCGAAGGGAAGGCTTGTGCTGTATGTCGGTCTTTCTGTTCCCATTGAATTACATTTGAACTATATAAAATTTTAAGATCTTCGTATACGCAATAAGATAGAATTCTACTTTTTAACTCTTGGCTGATTTTACGTACCTCGGCATGAAGACCGTGTGATGAGAGCCTGAAACCTATATATGAGCCTTCTAGTTCTGTGCCGCCAGTAATGCTAAATGGTGTTGCGAACGCTTTATCTTCAATCAGGCTTTTGATTTTCCTTGTGGATGATGGTTACAATACCTCCACTGTAGCCCTGTGAGTCGTAGAAGGCGACGAAAAGGGAACGCATTGCCTGGGGTTATAACTGTTCACCAAGTTAGTGGGGGACATAGCGGCCTCCGTAGTCTAGGGGTAACGTTCCCACCTCGTGACTCAAGGTACGCGGGTTCAAACCCGGCAGAGTTCGTGGAATTTTAAGGGCGGAAAAATTCAGGGAACAAGTCCTCCGGGAGGGACTTTAAGCCGTGGGTCCCGTGTCGTAGTCTGTAACGCCTCTGGTAGATGGGGGAAGCATCGAGATACCGCTAAGCCAGTAGAGGCCGAACTCTCTGGCTGAGTCGGGACTGTTGGCACGCACCAGTACCGGTAGGGAATAGAGACTGGTAGAATATCATAGGGGGACGCACACTGGACCAACAGTTGGTCTAAGTGCATGGGGAAACCCACCCTCTCCAATACAGTACAATACAATACAATAGTGGGGGACATACAGAGGCCTGGCCCTCCGGGTTGGGGATTGAACGCAAGGCTGACGACCATGCTGTGTAAAAGGAAATATTTTTGCGAAATCCGAAGAAGTGAAGACCAGATCGTCTACAGATCTGAGAGAATCTTTGAAGGAAGGCTGTGACTCAAAAGGGGCTGTCTTTCAGATTATGATGATGATGATGATGATGATGATGCAACTACTCTGAATGTCTTTCGTGGTGAAATTGGAGTAATTGTTGCATTCAATCCGCATAACCATTTCGGCTGAAAAGAACATCTTTTAAGTAACCAAAGAAATCAGTAACATTTCGAAATGACGATCGAAAGGAAAACAGAAGATTCTCGGTATGACATCCACGAGAATGCGCAGTAGTGAATGGTGTGCGTGGGATGACGGCTGCGGGCTGTAATGAGGCAGATGACCTCGATGAGCAAGATTTTCGTATAATATTACCTCGGCAATCTAATTGCACAGTTGCATAAGCCTTGAATGATAATGAATTGGCGGTAGGAAAACTTGTAAATGATGTCTGAACTGGTTGGATTTAAATTAGCAGCGGGAGGGCTGGATTCAACGTAGGGAACAAGTTAGGCAAGTTAGACACGTTTAGTGGTGCCATTGTTGCTGCTGTAGATCCTCTGGCAGAGTGACAGCCCTGATAGAGCTATAAAGCTCAACGTATATTTTTGGTTTCAGTGTTAGAAGCCTGTGTCAAATCTCACCTAAAGCAGTTCTCGCGGAACGCGGGTAATGGAGGCGTGTAGAGAAGCAGTCACTTCGTTAGAAAACACGGAAGGAAAACTAAATGTCGGTTAAAATAAATTATGGTACCAACTGGGCCCTCTGCAAGGCCCTCGTCCCGTTGGGAAGTAGGGAATCGTACAGTTATGATAGTGTATCTCATCTCTGCAAAGTTTCCTGAAGACGGATAGATTTTAAAATTTATGTTTATTTATTTTAGATACAGCAAATGTGCGTGGGCCCATAAGGCCCACATAACAAGGGAAATCGGCAGCTTAACGTAGTTCAAAGGAGGTACCATATTTCAAAGTTTTAATGGCAATCATCACATTGCCCTTAAAAAACTCCGTCGCTTAAGTCCGCAAGCGAACTATAGCGACCGAGCGACCGCCGTTTGTCGGCGAAGTTAGTGCCAACTTTTAGCGGATAGAGGGTGTTGCGTGGTCAGCGCAACGAATCCCCACGACCATTAATCTCGGTTTTCTAGACCGGAGCCGCTACTTTTTCATTCAAGTAGCTCCTCATTTATCCTCACGAGGCGGAGTGGACCCCGTTCCAGACCTACTACTTTCAGAAAATCTGTAGGGCTGGGAATCGAACCCGGACCTCTGGATCTGTAGCCAGGAACTCTGATCACTAGACCACAGAGGCGGTCATCACATTATTCTTCTGAGTATTAAACCCGCGAAATTATTATTAATTGTCGACGACTACTTAAACGCTTGTGAGAAATATGCGCAGGTCAAGATAAATCCCTGCATAACCGCTGGATTAAAGTAAAAGAACCGGAAGTCTCCCCGATTTTCGGAAGTACATTCTGTGTACTGTAAAGTTACCCCCCTCCCCGGAGGGAACGGAAACATTTATTTAATTACGACTACAAAGGTAGACTGTGAGGCCAATCCGCCCCCCCCCCGTATGATGCGTGAAAATTTTCACTGACCTCCATTTGTTGCGAAAATTAGAACATGTGGGAGACCTTACCTCCATAACTTCAATATTCTGATAATATTTTATATGGGTCAGGGATAGATCTTGGCAGCCATTGTGAACGTAAGAAACACTATATTTAGCAAGCCTACAATTTAAATTAGGTGCTCAGATATTACGATTAAGATTTCTCATTCTTTCACTCATTTAACCACTGAACACAATGATATTTGTAGACAGAAAACCACAAGGAACGTACAAGTTGGCACAGGAATGTTTCTTTTAATATGGAGTTCTATTCATAATATTATATTTCAGCATCCTGTTGCATTGATGCATCACTCTTGCACTTTTTCCCGTCTCCAGTGCCTTATATAGCCGAAACGTGTCGCAGCAATAAAATAAAGTGTCATTTTAATGTTTATGTCGCATTAGAGGGGGAAACTAGTGGACGAGTGACGGAATTCTGTGTGGCGAATTCAGAGGATGTATCGCGGTAGGTAAAGGGGAATATTACATGCGGGATAAAAAGCCGGAAGTATAAACAAGTGCAACCATTAATGATAGAAGTATCGTAACTATGAAATTAACCTGAAAAGGTTCTTACACTGAGTTTCTTGGCTCTATCGTAGCGAGAAGGAGTACAGTGTATCCTTAAATGGTTTAGGTCTAGTGACTCTCTTTTCAAGGAAGCAGATAAACGCAGTGACCATACATGGAACTTCGTACGAAGATGCGCTGCTGTTTTATAAACTGGAAGAGTCTGGATAATTAACGGTGTTTTAGCGCTTGTAATACAACCTTCACTGGAAAATTACTCCTTTACAGTTATATCTGTTCCGCCCGCCACCCATCTATCTTGTGTGTCGTATAGGTTGTCTACTAATAAGGCGGAAACATGAATGAGGATGTAGAGACCCATCTTTTTCCTGTAAGCTAAATTAACTGAAGATTATATGACTTCTATTGATGGAGTGTTATAATTAATGAATATTTTCCCTACATAATTTTCCCAATTTTAGCTGGAAGAGCAGAATAGTTGCAGCTAGTTCTGGTGTGCCCTTTAGTTAGTCTCATGTTTTCAAAACAATCGTAATTCATAAATTCATCGAGCTACCGTAAAATGTTGAATAATTAAATATGTAGACATTGATGAGAGAAAGCACTGAAGCATCGTTATGAATAATGTTTCTTCCGGCGTTACGAAGAACCATGCTCCAATCTGGTTACGGATTCATGCCCTAATTGCAACCCAGAATTCTACATTACAGAATGGCATTTACTTTGTTACATACTGTGACATGACGTCTGAAAGCCTGAATAGTTTCAGAAGTAAAGTTGTCCATTTCTAGACAATTGTCGGTAAACACCTTTCCACGGCGACCGAAACGCGCTTCCACGTTGCTTCCCTGTCCATAATTTCTTATATGCGAACCGAAATCAGGACTGGCAGACAGTTGAACTCGTGTCCTTTACTACCCGATACCGGGGTGACAGCTTGCTGTGTATGAACTATGGACTTTTTGGCTAAAAATCTGTATAGAGTCAAAAATTTGAAGTAAAGTAAGATGTATGTAAGTTTTGAGGTTTTCACGGCGATGACTATGAAAAAAGTCGTTTTCTCGGATCTGGCGCCGTGTATTCTTGGTTTTAACCGACGTTTCGGAGGAACATATCGCCTCCATCTTCAGAGTAGTTGAATTGCGTGCGAATACAGATAGCTGTAGCTGCAGCTGTAGCAGCTGAGAACGACTTTCTTCAAAGTAAGATGTAGTTTGACCTAACATCTGGTAGGCGTTATACCCTCACAAAAATCCCAGCGAAATTAGAATTATGTAACAGAATATTTCGAACCTGTTTCTTAGATGGGAATGGAAATATGAATTAAAATGTAATGCATTCATTCATCAATGGCTCTACAGTCCTTTGTTGGGCCCTGGCCTCTTTGTCAGTTTCATAATCTTTTTACGCAGACAGTTATGTTGGAAAGAAGTTATAATGTTCGACTGTGTCATCAATTGAAATGTGTGATGTGAATAGTGTGTGTTCCTTTTGCCAGACAAGCAGAATAGTTGGTGGGTGGTTTTCAGATAATCTTCCTGCAGTACAAGTACTACTATCATATCCCAGAATTGAAATTGCTGGCAGGCAGGATGAAATGAGTATGATGAAACAGGACATGCAGTACATATAGAAAGTTAAATTTGTTGACATACCTCCTTGAAAAATTATATAGAGTGGTGTTGAAATTTTAGCTGATACAGTATCTTTTTTTTCCAGGTGGACTGTGGGGTGAATATTCGTAAAGATGTCTCACCACAGTGACGACAACATGCTGATAGCAACCAGCGACTCATTCTGGGAACCTGGCAACTATAAGCGAACAACAAAACGTATTGAAGATGGATACAGACTGTGTAATGACCTTATGACCCTCATTCAAGAAAGAGCAGATATTGAGAAGGCATATGCAAAGAGCTTGAAGGGTTGGTCAAAAAAATGGAATGACTTGATTGAAAAAGGTATTTAAATGTTTGTAAAATTTGAAACCAATTTCCTAGTAGCCAATCCATTCAAAAGTTTTTGGTCGATTCTAGTAGATTCTAAAGGGTTCTGACGATGGTGTATAACACTCATAAGCACTGGGTTTTTGGGCTTTGTCCATTGTCCGGTATTCTAAAAACCTAGAGAGCCTAACGTTTCAGAAACTAGATCTATTTCTATCCTCAGGTGAAGAGGAGACACCTACTCGGTAGGGTCCCTTAAAAAGAGATAACCCCAATCACCAGACAGCCTATGTCATTATAACTACAACTATATAAATGCCTGAGACCAGGTTTTGACAGAGGGAGATAACTTTAAAAATGTACAGTAAAAATTCTGATAAAGCATGCACAGACTTGAAACTAAGTTTGAAGGGAGGTGAATACCAAATGATGGACAAAGTCCAAAAACCCAGTGCTTCTGAAGAATTTTTTGATCCAGAAGGTTTAAATATATTTGTTTTGTAGTGGTCTTAGGTGTATTTGAAAAGTTTTTTATTGTGTTACTAAAACTTCACTCCTTTCAGAGAGTAGACAGTATGCTATGTAAGGAAAAAGATTGGACTCTTGTTAGTCTCTCATTGTCTTATTTTAAGTACATATATTTACCCATAGTTTTACCTGGGCTTTTCCTCAGTATAAATCTACACAAACCCCCACCCCCAATATACTCGTATGTTGGTCATTGGAAAGCACACTGCTGCACTCTGTCCCTGTCAGGCTGCACAGTGATGGCAGGAACTGAAATATTTTTACAACCTTTATAATCTCTCAGCAAGCTATGAAATACACCTGTACAATCACGAAAAACTGGCAGAAGGCTTTACATGTAGCAGTTACTATTTCCAAAGAACGTATATTAAACCTTATTGACTTTCCAGAACTTCGTGTGGTAAGGTAAAGCTATCCTTGTAACAGGGCATGAAGCCCCATAGGGTTGTGAGACATCAAGGCTCCCACGTGTTTTAGGCAGTCAGCTCACAAATGGCGGTGTTTACATGCCGGCCACTCTTTACCCCCCAGGAAGATTCCTGTGTACTCATTTCTCTTAGAGGCAGAGTTGACGCCAGGGCCATAGTGCGACTGAAAGGGTTAGGTAAACTGAAGAAAAGAAAATTCAATGACCTCATCGGGAATCAAACCCACGACTTTCGAGCTTTTAGCGTAGTGCCTCAACTAACTACACTACTGCATGGATACAACCATATTTTAAGCAATTGTTCATAACTTAGTGAGTTCCCTTAGAATCAGTTGAGACTTACATTTCAGAAACCATGCCTTAACCTATCGTTAGGCATTTACATAAGTTGTACCGTTAGGATAGAGCAGCAAAATCTGGTGCCGTACAGCGTTAAATATGTGTTGGGAAGTCTTGAGTATGTGGTACCCGAAATGTGAAATTAGACCATTACATTCGTAACAAATTCAAATTGTTAACATTTGTGCTCATAGCTGCACACCACTACAACACAGCTTTCTCATTTAAGGAGGAAATTACGCAGTATACCCCTAAAATTTGGAGTTCCTCAGCATGAAAATATTTTAGGTACTTTATATATCCCTGTGAAAATGTGTTTATCTGTGGGTCAGAATAATGTAATTACAGTTTTGTGATGGCACCCTTCATGTCATTGAAAGTCTGGTTGTCTCCAAACCAGTAAAGAACAAGTGGAATGTACCCATAGCATAACATTGCTAGTATGTTGCTCTGTTATTACCCCTAGAGCTTCAGCCATTGGTAAAAAAAAACATTGTTATATACACGTTCAATCTGATTTTTAAAATAAATTTTTCTCAGCTCTGTAGTTCAAAGTCATGACTTTATTTTTATAATTTGAAGACATCTCATATATTCTGTTACGCAAAATACCTTGCTCTAAAATACTGTCACGTGTTGGGTGTATAACGCGACAAATAACTTCACGCCATATTGGATATGGCGAATTTATTGCACATTCGCTCTTACAGTCACACAGTTTACAATCTCACAATTACTGCCATCGGCAGTATCACAAATACTAGACTGCAATTAACTAGTTACTCTTTCTCTAGTAACTGGCTCAATACTCTCTGATTAACCACTCACTACTCCTGGAGAGTGTTCGCTGCTCCTTATTTAGCCTCGGCACGGACAACACAGAAAACAGTTACGTGATAAGTACCACTGTTGCTTAACGTCGTGTTTACCTATTGCTTAGCAACAGTCGTTGCACGGACTCCCCGCCGTGTTTACAAAGGCGTTGCTGGGCAACGTTGCCGAGAGTTGCTTATTGCTGCATAGCAACTTCGGTGTCCCCTGTTACGTCACCGCAGGTGAGGGGGTCGGGGTGTTTACCGAGCGTTGCGCCGTTACTTCACAATACCGAAATAGGGAGAGAAAAGACTGTAAAGCACTTTCATGTCCATGTAATAAATAAGCAAGGACTTTCAGATCAAAACTCCTATTGCATATATTTTTAGCCCCATAGATCTGTTACTTACTACTGTTGTTAGGGCCGCGCCATAGCTCAAGCGGTTAGTCGCTGGCTTCCCACCGCGGCTGCCCGGGTTCGATCCCAGGTCTGGTCAAGTGGGATTTGTGGTGGACAAAGTGGCGCTGGGGCAGGTTTTCTCTGAGTACTTCGGTTTCCCCTGCCAATCTTCATTCCACCAATTGCTCCACAATCACCCTCACCTATCATCTGGGGCTGGTGCAATAGGCCAGAAGGGGCCGCAGTACAAGGGACTTAGTTCCACCCCACTAGCATTAAAATAATACTACTGTTGTTCTCATTATATTTTACTGAATGTTATGAACCCCGTGGAGTGGTTCAAAAATTGAAATTGGGGTTCATGAACACACATGCACATACACTCGTGCATGTGTGTGCACACACACACAGACACAGCATGGCAATATTGTAGGCCAGCTGTCTTTCTGTAAGAATTCATGTGGGCAAAAAACTTGTGTGAACCGCCATGCTAGTGTTAAAAGTTAAGCCAAAGTTCATACTGTATCCCCTCAGCCTGTAGCTGTTTACTCACTGAATTAAGAAATTAAGATGCTTGTGTTTCTGAAATTAACAAGTCATTTGTAGTTGCTAGTTAGGGGTATTGAAACCAGTGAATGTGTAGTTCAGAGTTTGTTTATAAATAGTGTTCATTTGTAGACTAGCCATCAGTTCAATGCAAATACAACATGTGTCTTGGTTTTGACTAGGTCCTGAGTATGGGACCACAGAAGCAGCCTGGAAGGGAGTTTTAGGTGAGGCAGACAGGTTGTGTGACCTGCATCTGAAGGTCAGGGACAATCTCTGCAATGATGTCATGCAACAAGTTAAAACATGGCAGAAAGATACATACCACAAGGTAGAGAGACTGTCTTTGTTCTGTCTTTTAATGCAGTTTATTTTAGTATTTTATTCTTGTTCAAAAGAGTGACATTTACACACGAGTTTTTAAAATTAAACTTCAATATGCATATTTCATATACACGGCCAGTTGATACAAGATATGTGCAAAATTAAACCTGATATTATGTCTGTACTCATGCTATGAAAGAATGCTATATAAATGCTGTGAAAGTTAACTTTGTGTGATAGCTTTTAAAGTTAGTCCTCAATGTGCATATTTCAAGTACTTGATTCAGTTATGCTGGATTTGTGCAAAATGAATCCCAGTGTGATGAGTTTCAATGCTGATGCTGCAAGAAAATACCAAACTTTAGAAAAATGTTAAATACTATCTTTATTATATATGAGAGGTTCGACATATGTTCTGGTCCAATACTGAATAAATACAAAATATAGGTTTCAAAAATCTCATCTAAATAAACATTTTTCATGAAAATGTCAACAGCTGATGACAGAGACTATAGCTGGCAGATACACCATCTGGTACAATTAATACAACCTGTAACCAGCCCATGCTGCCTCCTGTTGGCACATTGTGTTACCGTAGTCTTGCAGGGCATTAGTGCAGTTTTGTTGTATAAAGATATAATTACACAGCCATCATTAATAGTTTATTGTTTATGCAAGATATATCATCCTTGGGATGTGTAATGGCAGTTCTAAACTTCTTACAATGCTCTGAGTCTGTGAAAAGAAGTTTAAAATTTATATCGTCAATATCATGAGACCAGGAAGATATATAGGAAGATGCTTCAGCAACTTATGATGAGGTGCAGTACTCAGTTATTTCCATTGTTTGGGTGTAATTTCACAAACCTCTCAGTAAGCGCCAGTGACTTTGAAACATGTGTTCTCTGTGAGCACAAGTCAAATGTGATGTATTGCTACCTATTTAATGCTTCAGTTCCATTTCATACTATTAACAGAAACGAAAAACAGAGTAAAGTAAAGATAACATATGACTATCAAGAATTTCATAACAGAAATTACATCACAAAGACAAAACAACTCCGTCCAGTGTGACTATTGAAGTTTTTACTACTTAAAAACTTAACACCCTTACATGTTTCAGTCCCAATAGACCATCATCAGCGGGACATAGATACTTTTTTGGAAACTACTATCACAATGGGTGTTTTGAGTGTTAAAATACATATACATACAATATTTGTAATGCACAGTATATACAAAATCCAACTTTTCCACAACTACAGCAGCTTTCTTGGTATATTAAAGTTTTTAAAATTTTTAAAACTTTGTTATTTAAGTGTAATAATCTTGTTCCACCTGTCTATCTTGAGAAGGAGATTCTTGGTATCGTCCTGTGTTGTTTTTACTGGCGGCACAAGATCAGCCCCATCAAGAAAGACGATAGGAGGAGGGACATGAACCTACTTGGTTTATAAATTTTAACTTAAATAACAAAGTTTTAAAAACTTTATTATACCAAGAAAGCTGCTGTAGTTGTGGAAAAGTTGGATTTTGTATATACCGTATGTCCAAAAAGTATCCGACTTTATTTTTTCTGCTGTAAGTAATGGCCAAAGGGGTGGGGAAACTGAGCGTAGTGGTAGAAGGGACTTTCATGCGCATGCGTGATTTTTTGCTGACTCGCAACACTGCCGGATGCGTCTGTGGCTGCCATATAGCGAAGTGGTGTAACACGTGTTCGTCACATTGTCGTGTCGCTCAAGATGACAGAACGCTTGGAGCAGCGATACTGCATTAAGTTTTTGTCAGAAACTTTGGGATACCCAAGCAGAAACAATTTGCAAAATTTAGCAGGCTTTCGGCGATGATGCAATGGGGGTCACTCAATTTAAAGAGTGGTTAAACTGCTTTAAAGATGGCCGTATGTAGGCAGACAATGAGCAGCGTTCCGGGAGACCGTCAACGAACCAAAATGCTGATGTCATTGAAAAAGTGTGAACACTGATCATGGAGGACCGTCGTTTGGCCATCCGTGAAGTTGCTGATGAGGTTGGGCTCAGCAGACGTTCTGCAAACAATTTTAACTGAGCATTTGGGCATGTGAAGAGGGGTGGCAAAATTTGTGACCAAGCTGCTTTCACCGGAGCAGCAACAACTCCGCCTTGAGGTCGCACAGGACATGCTGGAGTGCAACAGGGATCCTGAGTTCCTGAAGACTGTGATCACTGGTGACGAGTCATGGGTGTATGGATATGACCCGGAAACCAAGGTCCAGGCATCACAATGGAAGCATCCAACATCCCCGAGGCCCAAAAGAGCACGACAGGTTCGGAGCAATGTGAAGGTGATACTGACTGTTTTTTCGATTACCGGGGTGTTGTGCATCATGAGTACGCACCACTAGGCCAGACTGTCAGTAAGGAGTACAACCAAGAAGTCCTCCGCCATCTTCATAATGCAGTTCGGCGCAAGAGACCGGAGCTGTGGGACGCACGTAACTGGCAGCTGTATCATGACAACGCCCCAGCTCATTCATCACACCTGATCCCGGGTTTCCTGGCCAAGCAAGGCATTCCACAGGTTTTCCAGGCTCCTTGTGATTTCTGGCTGTTCCCGAGATTGAAGACACCGCTAAAAGGCTGCCGTTTTGACAGCCGCGAGGACATCATACAGAATGCAATGGCGCAGCTGCACGCCATTCCAAAAGAAGCCTTCCAGAATTGCTTCCAGCGATGGAAGGGCCACTGGGCTAAGTGTGTGGAGTCACAAGGGGCCTACTTTGAAGGAAATTAGGTATTGTAACCACCCAGATACAGAACTTTTCTTTTCCCAGCCGAAGGTCGCATACTTTTTGAACAGAGTAGTATTGTGTGTTACAAATATTGTATGTATATGTATTTTAACACTCAAAACACCCATTGTGATAATAGTTTCAAAAAAAGTATCGATGTCCCTCTGATGATGGTCTATAGGGCCCGAAACATGTAAGGGTGTTAAATTTTTAAGTAGTGAAAACTTCAATAGTCACACTGGATAGAGTTGCTTTGTCTTTGTAATTTGTTAGTGTGACGGACCAGAATGAAACAAATCAAAGAAATTACATCGCTAAATATTCTGACATAGTGACAAGATGAGTTTGACTTTATTTAACAATAATTTCTTGTTTCATGGAAGGCTGGACGTTGTTTTACAGAATGCACAGTTCTTCCTTCAAACTGCATTGCTATGATGACATATCATCATAATATAGATAGTAGTGCATTGACAGGTTTAAAGGCTAACAACATAGGTAGTCAGCCATTCTTTCATTGGTTGGGAATATTTTTCATTTACTTCACTCTTTTATTTCTTCCATTATTAAGTTCTTTTCACATTTGGTTAGTCTCTAGTTTTAAGAATCCAGAAAGTACTATGAATGAAAATGTCTTTTATTACATCTTCAGAAAGTGTATTTCAGAATTATTCAATTTAAGAGTCCTCAGATATCTTCAAACTTTGAAATGAAGTGTCCATTACCATGAAGTAATTTAAAAATGTTAGTTTGTCTTTATGTTTTTGTTTGTTCTTTCATTCTTCGGGAACATTTGTCTGTACTAATTGTCTGATTTAAAGTTTACACTGTTCTACCATATACGTGTATAAAATACAGACAGTAACAGTATGACTAGACAGACTTTATACTGTTTGCTTTAGAACTTTAAACAGTTTGTTGTTGCTCTCTTTTAAATATCATTTTTTGTGTAACTATAAAATCATTAATTAATCTGGTTCATCCACATAACACAAACAAAGTGAATATGAGCCCTGAGTATTAGCCATAATCATTAGAAAGACAGTAAGCACACTTTACTAATGTACATTATAGAACTAAGATTGAACTTGTTAGATGAACACACATTGATTTGTTTGCTGGCAGTCTAATGATTCTGGTAATACTAGAATTGTATAGATGAAGAAAATGAACTGTTTTGTAATGATATCATGCTACTGAATTTTGATTTGCTCCCGTGCAGCGCAGAACAGGCACAGATTTGCCTGTGTGGATTCAGGTACAGTGGCATGACACCCTTTGAAATATGGGTGCACAGGTTCAGTCCTGTGTAAGGCCTGCATATTTGTGTTTCTTGCTATTTCTCTTTATGAACATATTTGAAAAGCATGTTTGTTTAGAAAAACATTTTGTGGCAACTTCCTGTGATGTAGTGACCTAACGTCAGAAAACCAGAGTGAATACTCCCCATCTGAGGATGTGATCACTTGGTAGCTGCAGTGGTAGAACACCTGCCTGACATTGGAAAGTTCACAGATTTCAATCTGTAACCTGGCTACATTTCTCTTTCAACCGTATTCATTAGAACTGTCATTAGGTTCTTATTCTGTAGGCATATAAAACTTTTACATTATCATACAAGATTTGGTTTAACTCTGTGTGAAATAGAAAAATTAATTTATAGTGGAACTATTAAAATTTGTGTCAGCTTTCTTCTCTATACTTCTTTGCTGTATGTTACAATGCATTTCACTAGCTACTAAGTCCTGATGGATATGTGCACATTTCATGTATTTTAAACATGGAAGCAGTTATGTGTACAGTAGACCCTCGATACAAAGTGAGTGTTTGAGGATGGGGGACAGGGGCACCTTCAGTACCTGTATTATAAAGGAAATTGACATTTGTTTAATTTGGCATCAGTTTTATTATGTATTCAGTAGTTATATAGTGGCTAAAATATGTACATGAAATTTAAGGTACGTATCAGACTTTGGTTGAACAGGTAAAAGGGGTGCTCATTAAATTTTACTGTTTGAAGAGAATAATTCCAAGGTTAGAGAACCAGAAACTTGCAACCCATTCATAGCAGACTGTGGACTTAGCCACCTGTACTTTCACGCTGCAACAGTGAAGACTATTATAGAATTTTATGCTGTAAGTGAAACATTTCATAGAAATTTGTATGATCTAAAACCTATGTAATGATGCTGGGGGCATGATCAAAGCCATGGTATATCTGAATGTACGTAGGTAAGTCAATAAGTAAGTTATACATGGATATAGAACTTAAATAAGAGTACTGATTTGAAAAATTCTTTTATTTCTCTACGTAATCTCCATGTACATTGAGGCACTTGTCCCATCATTTCAAAAGCCCCTGAAAACCAGCAGCATAAAATTCTTTGGGCTGCTGTCGGAACCAGGCGGTGACTGGGGTCACGAAGGCATACTGCTCACTGCATTCCAGCCTCAAGGACAAACCATAAATGCCAACTCCTACTCTAACATCCTCAGGAAACTTTATAAGGCCATTCAACAGAAGTGACTAGGACTCCTCACCAAAGGCGTGTTGCTCTTGCATGACAAAGCACGTCCCCGTACTGCAAACAAGACAAATGAGATGCTGCAAAATTTCAAGTTGAAAGTCCTCTAGCATCCTCCGTATAGCCCCGACCTTGCTCCAAGTGACTTCCATTTGTTCGGCCCTCGTACACATCAGCTGAACATTTTCCTGACAATGAAGCTGTAGAAAGGGAAGTCACCGCCTGGTTCTGACAACAGCCCAAAGAATTTTATATTGCTGGTTTTCCGGGGCTTGTGAAATGATGGGACAAGTGCCTCAATGTAGAGGGAGATTCTGTTGAGAACTAAAAGCATTTTTCAAGTCAGTGCTCTTATTTGTTTAAGTTCTATATCCATTTGTAACTTACTTATTGACTTACCCTTGTATATGTATTTGTATATATCAGTGTGTGATATAATGAGGGTCTACTGTACTGTGAAAGTATTTGAAATAATTTAATTAGTCTGAAAACATAAATTCTATAGTGACAGAGTTTTTTGTTTTTGTTGATGTGTCTTTTAGTAATTATTTCTTCCAAAACCTTGATGTTAATGTTAATGTTGTAGCAATTATGTTATGATATTTTCATTTACACAGCTATGATGATTTTTTATTTTTCAGTCAATGATTCAAATAAAAGAAAGAAAAGAAATGGAAGACTCGTTTAAAAAGGCTCAGAAACCATGGTCAAAGCTGTTAGCAAAAGTGAACAAAACCAAGGTGGACTATCATACTGCATGCAAAACTGAAAAGTCTGCATCAAATCAGGAAAGGAATGCATCAGCAGATAGTTCCCTCTCGCCTGATCAGGTATGTATGTTATTACATCCCAAATGTGTAGTTTTCAATTGGATCATTAAATGGATTTCATATAGCATGGTATTCTTAATAAAAAGGAACCTCACTTCTAACATCTATCAGTCAAATTATATCCATATAAAAAATAATAAACACCATGTTAAACTGACGCAGTATACTTGAATATCCTCCTTCACCTTTGGAGGAGTAGACACCCCCTGATAGGAAGGAACAGATGTTAGTCTTGAGAAGTTTCGTAAGAAGGTTCTCAGTGCCCCCACTAAAATACAATTAGTGATAGAAGAAGAGTCAGTATTATAATAAGAGTACTGGGGATATACACTATTCCTAGATAATTTACAGAGAAGTTGCACATATTATCAAATTAATTACAAGAAGACTGATAATTGTCTAATAGAGTAAAATGAGTGTGGGTTAGTCTTTACCTGTATCTGGGGAGGAGGTTAAAGAAATATTAGGAATTGATTTAGAACTTTGGAAAATAGATGTAATTATACTGAGAGATGTTGGGTGTTTGCCAGATTGGTGACAATCCCTACACCTGCCTATTGTTCTACCATCATACAGCATATGTTGGACACTGCAGTACAAACGGAGTAATAATCTGTATTTATTAATCCTTGTTATATCTTTCCAGCGTTCCTCTTCCTTTTCTATTTAATTTCATTGAGTTGTATCCCATTTTAAAGAAAATATGCAAATATCAAATACTTTTTTTCAAAAAGTTACATTCGTCTTTACCCCACCTTCTTGGTTTTAGTATCAACACGTGATACACACAAAATTGAGTGCAAGGAAGGATATACAGTGTAAATATATTTTCAGCAAAATGCTCTACTGCATATGGCTGTCATATTTGTAGTGGTAATATAAACAGTTTTTGGTGAATGGAGGAAGAATATTACAAATAATTGTTATAAAATGAGGAGACTTGTGCCAGGGGGAGATTTCAAAAACTTGACTAGATGTGGGGTACGGTTTTTGATTTCCTTGATACATGTTAAAAATATGTAAAGTATGTAAATGAGATAGTTGAGAGAGGAGGAAACCCTTAACTCACAGAGGTAAACAGAAACCCATGACTATAGTCTTCTGGGTTATGATGACGTGTAGTTTGGAGAGAGCCCTATATTTTGGAGAAATATATTTCCACCATCTTCAAGGTCAGAGAGTACGCCAAACAAGAAACCAATTTCGGCTTGTTGCCTACATCTGCTGATTTGTTGCTTGGCATACTTTCGACCCAGAATATGGAGGAAATATGTTCCTTAGAAATGTAGGTCTCTCTGAGAAGTACACGGTGTTACAACCCAGAAGACCTTGTGTGGGGTTCATAATGGCATGAGAACCTCAAGTTGCTGATTGAGAATGGTTGCATCCATAAGGAATGAAGCCTGTGAGGAAGCTACTATAGTGAAGGATCAACTTAATAAAATTTAATGTTAACTGAGTCATGAGACACCATTGTAGTTGTTGCCAAATTTGTTGTTTCACATATAGTCTATGAATATACTTTGTCCTGTTCTTATGTAGATTGCGTGTAACAGTGGGATAAAATAATGTTTTATAAGTAGTATATTCAGTTAAATATTCAGAATTGTGTCAGATATTGATGTTACAGATGAGTCTTTATTTAAGAAATTTGTTCTATTTATTATAAACAATTAACTTTTTCATTTTATTACAGAAAGCAGCCTTGGTAAGCAAATTAATTACATTCATTCATAAAATAACAACACTAACACAATAGTTAATATATTAATTGATGTATGTTATAGATGAGAGCTTTGACTAATAAGACAAAGTCTAAACCTGGTTTGATTAATATATTTGTAGACAGAAGTATCTAATAAGATATGAGACTTTCAGTTTGCTTTTGTGAAAGGTTAAGAAATGCTAACTAACTGAATGGCATGAATCGCCTGAGTGGGACGCTTAAGACAGAATAGTTCCAAAATTGCGGTACTGCTGAAATACAAGTAGGAGTATATAACCATTGTTTACCAAATATCTGTGTTGATAATAAGTCAAGAGTTGGCAGGAATGAGACATTGTAACTGTAGGAAATAAGTTGAACCATAAAGAATATAAATTGTAGTGCATAGATGCAAAAAGCCTGCTACATAAATGCTTTTACCAACATATGTAATTCTCGTAAATATACTGTCTGCATGTCATGTAATGAATGGAATAATGAGGATGAGGAGGATGAGGACGAGGACATGTTTGAAAGATAATTAAATCCATTGTCAGGCTGTCTATATAAGGCAATAACTTAATTAAGGAAAATTTTATTAGATGGTTCTTGAAGAAATAGTTGAGGATGTGGACTCCATTGATCTGGTCTAGGATAGTGTTCATTGATGGGCTGTTGTGAAAAATGCCAATAAAATTTTGGAATTCATAAAAACAGGAATTTATTGACTAGCAGAGCATTTATTGGCTTCACAAAGGGTTCTGCTTTGATGGAGCTTGTTAGAATAAAAATAAATCACATTAAGTCATGTGCAGGAACCATTTTTCTATTTAATACAAAACGAGTCTAAAGCAAGATTACAACTTACTGCAAGCAGAGAGATGAATAAGAATTTCAAAATTAGTAATCTAATTACATTATATGCAGACATCTTGTAAGTGTGCTCTCCCTTAAGGTTTCTTTCCAAAACAGTCTGTATTTCTTGTTTCCCATATGTATTGTATGCTAATGTCATGATGACATTAGCAAAAAACATGTTTGCCAGTACTTATGCTCTGTTTTAGCTTGTTAACATTTTACATATAAAATGCATTGGAAAACTGGAATGTGTCACAAGTTTTCTGATGTACATCAATTGTTCGACAGTATGCACACCAGCTGAAAAAACAGTATGTGTACACGAATGAATGTGCTTGCATATATGAGCCATAATGCAGTATATATTAACTTTCATTCATTGATATGATGAAAATTATATAATTTTATTACATTATCATGAAAAGTTAAATAGTTCCCATCTAGTGTGACTGGTGAAGATTTTTCTTATTCATGCCTTTACATGTTTCGGTCTTCAGAGACCATTGTCAGAGGGACACCTTTACATCAATACAGTTGGAAGTTGTGGCAAACCACAAACACATACAGGACAACATCAAAAACCCTCTTCTCGAGAACAACAAGGCAGTACTCATTCGGCCACCGTCAAGAGAACTAATAAGAAAGATGACACGAACCTACTTGGTTTATGAATTCCAATAAAATCTTAACAAAGCAATTACAAATATTTTATTCTATTGAACAGCTGCTGTAGTTGTAATAATTTTAGATTTTATACCCAGTTATATAATATTAACATTATATGTATATATTTTAACATTCAGAACATGTATTGTAATAGTAACTTCCAACTGTATTGATGTAAAGGTGTCCGTTCCCCTGATGATGGTATCTGAAGACCGAAACATGTAAGGGCATGAATAATGGCAATAAGAAAAATCTTCACCAGTCACACTAGATGGAACTGTTTAACTTTTCATGATATTGTTAGTGTGACGGACCAGAATGAAACAAATCAAATTTTATTACAGTGTTCATATTGAAAATGAGGTAAAATCATGTTAATAGGTGGCATTAACCTATTATTAGTGGTAACGGTATCAAAGATGTTTATGTTTTTTATGTTTTAAATTCTCTTGTAGGTGAAGAAAATGCAAGACCGTGTACAGAAATCTAAAGAAGATGTTCAGAAGGCTAAAGAGAAATATGAGGCGGCTTTAGATGAAATAAATGGCTACAACCCTAAATATATGGAAGACATGACCGTCGTATTCGATAAGTGCCAAGACATGGAAGCACAGAGGTTGCAGTTCTTCAAGGATATAATGTTCAATATTCACAAATGTCTCAACATTTCGCAAGATCCAGTGTAAGCGCATGGTTTCTGTTACTGCATTTCTTTAGTAATATAAGTAAGAATAGGGTATGGAAGAATTGCAAGCACTAACAAGGAATGATATCACAGTATTATATGTGTATTTAACTTACACAAATTCAGCTGTAGGCACTCACCAAAAAAAATAATAAATAGAGTAAAGTAAAATGAAATGAAAATATAAATACCATGGGCATTTCCAGCCCCCTCCCCCCCCCTTAAAATAGTGTTGTTGGGGGAAGAGGAAGACTGATCGTCAGAATATCCAGATTTATGTTTGACATGATTCATATTAATTGATCCCTAGCACAGCATTGTTAATTTAGATATAGGACTTTGTTTTGCTTGTGAATCTTGTTGTGATTTGCCTTGCCAGCATCTTGCTAACTTTGTTATATATATTTTTATATTTTTAACTTGTATAATATATGATATAAGATATGATATTGGTGAGTGTTCAGGTTTACTATTTTCCTTTTTTATTCTTTCATTCTTCCTTCTCTGTCTCTAGCGTTTATGTAATTAAAAATAAAATTACTGTACATTTTACTTGTGAATTACTCTTTATTATATACATACATATTACAAGTATATACAAAAAGCATGTAGTTTGTGGCTGGTTTAAGGGATTTTCATGGTTAATCTGACTATACAAGATTTTGGCTTTACATGCCAACTTTAGAACATAACCCCCACATAAAATATAAAGTAGAAGTTATGAGAGGAAGGCCAATGGAAAAACTGTAATCTTTGTAGTGTTTTAAAGTCTGTTTAATGACACTGTTAGTAGACTATGGAATGCTAATAAGAAATGAAATGGAAATGTCATGGAAGGAAACAGCTGTGGCATAATTTAAGGTATTATTTCTGTACTTGAATGGTGGAACTGAGGAAAACCGTGGTGAAACTCAGGATCGTCATTGCCCCAGCCAAGATCTAGACCATGCATCTCCTGAACAGAAGCCAGAAGTATTGCTGCTTGAGCCATCTTGTGTGGTTATAATTTTTGCAAAAGTAGATTTTAAAGCCCTTGAATAGAAAGGGTTATTTTAACTGAATGCATTATTCTGTTACAGTCTTCCTCAGATCTATGAAGAATTCTATCATACAGTAAATAATGCAGACCGTGAAAAAGATCTGAAATGGTGGTCCAATACGCATGGTGTTAACATGGCCATGAACTGGCCATACTTTGAGGTAAGCCACATGTTACTATGGGAAAAGATGCTGATTGGCTTGCATTTATATGGGCTGTTATTGTGGTGTATGTGTTTTCACTTTAAAGCTGGCAACATTTTATTAATGCATTGTGACTCTTTTAAGTATATTGCATGCATGGGTGTAATTATATTTTTAATAAGAAGCGTAGTGCATCATAATCAAAAACAGAATTAGATAGCATGCAGTGACAATACATTTAATTATGAAATTAGTTACCCAAATTTTCATCGCTGAAATACTGACTCTAAAGTAGGACATGAAACACATGGCCTCTTTCTTCCTGTCAGTGACAGATTAATATGCATATGAAAATCTGATGTGTATATATAATTTAGAAGACAGGAATATTGTTTAGAATTAAAAGGTAATTGAAATGTAATCTCATTTTATGTTTGGTTGTCACTAATATGATATTGTGACTTTTTCTTGGAATAAGTTTAAGCCTATCATATCTCCATAACTTGGGAGAAATATAAATTTGGATCTTGCATTCTTTTTGACATTGGAAAAATTTATCCTGTCATGACACCCTTCTGCTCTGAATTTCAGTTTTGACTTTCTTATTTAATTATTATTGCTTCTTTTAATGAAATGGGACATATTTACTGGTCACTGAATGAAAGGGTTCAGAAAGTCATTTGGGCATTAATCTCTTGACTTTATTAATGTTTTGTCACTGCTGATTTTGATTATAAACTTACAAGCATGAATGTATGTAACAAAACTTGCATCATGTCTCACTGTACCAGTAACTTTGGATCGTCACTACGTATATCATTCAGTGTCATGCATAACTAGCTGAGTTTTTAAGTTTCCATGTAACTTGTATAAATATAAAAGGAAAGAATTAAATTTTCCATCTTGCTTGCTCAGTAGAATCGTAATAGGAAATACAGTAATAAGTGTGACAAAGTGATGTACACTGCAATAAATTACAGTAGAGTATCCTGAATTTTCTCTATATTTCTCATTGAAGATACTGAAATATTCATAGCTAGTTTTCCTTTTTTATTTGCTCATATACATAGCGTGTATGAGAAAGTGCCATGATTGTGAAAAGACTGATCTTGAGATTTGACAGATTTACTCATATTGAGCTCCCTGAATATGAATAAGTTGTTTCTGGAATGCCATCTGTTTGTATGACTCACTAGCACCTGAACAGTTGAATAGATTTTGTCCAAATTTGTTATTCATTTTTCCATCTAAGTCAGTGCCCAATGAATTTGAACATTCCAGCTCAAAAAATAGAGCCCCATCAAGTGTGCTCAAAAACACAAAATGACAATTTAAAAAAAATTACTTTAATAGTTTCAATTACATTTTTATTTATGGAAATATCTTCATAAATAAAACAGCATATTTAGTATCTAAGGTCCCAAATTGAAATGTCATTTTTCTCAAAACCAGCATTACCAATTAGACTTAATTGTTTGGTAATCAGCATTCAATAATAGTGTACCCTGCATAAGTTGATTTAATTTCCAAGGTAACAGTCAAAATCAGTTGCATATAAGAAAAAGTATGTAGTGCTTTTGCATAAATTTGTATTTGTGTTTTTGAAGATTTCACTTTCATTCCTAGTCATCTTTCTTGATGAGGAATTAACCATATTTGTTCAATCATTAGAGACATTTATTGGATAATGCAGAATGGGGATAGGTTTATATTTGAGTAGAATCCATTGCAAAATTGTAACTTGCTTGCAAACAGTATATTCTACAAATGATTCAAGCTTTCATTTATTTCATCACTATCACTGATTACATTTGAAGTTGGTGTATGAATTTAGTTTAAAATGTAGCTGTAGCATGAAGATGTAGCCTGTGTTTAGTGTGATGCAAAACTTAAAGAAAATCAAGTGGAGGCAGGTAGGAATATGCAGTGTTGATTGCATGTTGTGTGTTTGTTCCCACCCACAGGAATACACAGAGGAGTTCAGGGATATTGCCAAGGGCAGGTCAAAGGACGCTATCCCAGGAATCATGCTCATCAATCAGCGCCCTGTTGGAGAGGATTTGCATGTAACTGGCCTTTCTATGCTCTTTTACAGTATTTTTGTAAAAAAGTGTTTAAATGCATTTTTGTTAAATATGTGAATGTTGTGAACTCAACCTTCTGATTTAAGTTCGGATAAAAATTTCAGAGATGTCATTCTGCAGGGCATTTAAAAATATATTACAGTACATGTCAACACAAGAAAACAGACCTATTTAGTGGGCACAAACATGTTTTCCTATTCAGTTTGTTTGAACTTCTGAAGTAGTTTCCTTATGGGTTGAGGGAGTATATCTGAACAGGGATTCCCCAGAGAAAGGTCTGTAGATCTCGGAAGATTTTGTGCATTCTCTGCAGTTGTTTCCTCCATTATTACTCAATGATCACCAGTATGGACACTAGTAAAGCATTTAAGAAAATTACAAAAAAGTTTTGAATTAAGATGCCACTGAATTCAATGAAGGTCTTCTTGGGGGATCAGCCATGTCAGTGTGGAATGATTTTTCAACGTTTCAGAGAATTATCAGAAATCTAGCTAAGAGAAAAGTCAAAATATTGTTGTAAATGTAAATACCAAGAGAGTTTACATATGTCAGTGATACAAGTTCAAGGTCCTGTGATGATATTTCTTCTTATATACAGAGGGGCCCAGAAAAATGTATACACACTTCAACATGGGAAAAAGTAAGTAAAAAGTAAAGCTATCCCTTTAACAGGCTGTGAAGGCCCATAGGGTTATGAGATGTTGAGGGTCCCACATTATCTACACAATCGGTTCAAAGATTGCGGTAAGGTTGTCAGCCCCACACTCCAGCCACGCTTTACTCCCCAGGAAAATTATTTAATTAATTCCTGGTACTCATTTCTGTTAGAGGCTGAGTCGACCCCAGGGCCATAGTGTGACTGGAAGGATTAGGTCAATTGAAAAAAATCCAGTGACTTCATCGAGACTTGAACCCGTGACTTTCTGGCTTGTAGCATAGTGACTCAACAAACTACGCTACCATGTATACCCCCTTTCAACATGCAAAATATCTGCTTAAATAATTTGTTGATATATATATTCAGTTCAACTTTGAAGATGTCAATTAGATAACCTGTCTTAAAGTTTCTTATAGAGGTTATTAAATACAAAAATGTTCAGAATTATTGACACAGTACATATCACAACCTTTTGAGGTAAGAAGATTGTCTTCAAATACAATAGTGGGCATAATACAAGGAAAATGTATAGGAAACTAGTACTGTCTTATTGTTGCCAGAGAGGCAAAATATTATTATTCCACTTTGATATAGAATGTTACACTTAACCATCCTTATCTTCCAAGAATTATACAATTAAAAATCTAACCCTTATGGTTCTTTCCATATAGTGCGTCTGTCAATAGTTCTTGTCAGGAAATCAAAAGGGCATGCATTCTTTACACATTTCAGCTTGTTTATAAAAACATGAGTCACTGAATGTGAGATGATTTTAGCACATGTATTTTGCATTATTTCCTAGCCCAGGCTTTATCTCACAGTCCATCTCAGTTCACTGTTGAATTGATGCTTAAGTGGCGCCACAGGTTGTTAATATTTCTTTTGATTCCATCTGTTGCAAACTGCTTACACCTAATATTCAGTGAGACATATTTTGATTCATATGCCTTCACAAGACAGTTTGACCAGACCATATAGAAATGTTGAGGGTTCTTGGCGGAATTTGTGCAAGTGTCTTGGATATACTGGCATTTCTCTAGAGATATCTGACACACTCCTTGTGATAACTGTCACATAAAGATTCACCCTAAGATATCAGTCTTAAGGAGATATTGCTGGCTGGTCTTTATGGAAAGTGTTGTTTGTTATTGTATGATATTATGGATGTGTAAGAAGATTATATGCCAGTCACAGTAGCCAAGCAGTCTAAGGCATGCACTGTCTTCGCTCGCTCGGAAGCCAGGATCGTGGGTTCGAATCCCACTCAGGGCATGGATGTTTGTGTGCGTTTTTCTGTGTTTGTGTACAGGTAGAGGCCTTGCGACAAGCTGATCACTCGCCCAAGGAGTCCTACCGTATGTGTAAGATCAAGAAAAACCGAAGTGAACGGAGTTCATGGAGGTAGGCCTAGGCCCACTGGGGCTGTAGTGCCAAGGGAAGAAAAAAATAAATAAATAAATATATATTATGAAAGGGATTTACAATTTTGGGGATTTGATAACTAGCATATATTTTATACTTTCATGTGAAGTGTAATAACAGAATAGAATATGAAGAAAACATGAAAGTTCATACGTAAGTGGATCAGGTATTGTATGTTTTGCTGTCTCTGTGTTAATGTTGCATGTGGCGTGATTATTGTGATGTACGGCAGTAGTTGTACAGTTGCAATTTTCAGCATTCTTATAGTTAAAGCTGCAAGTCAGTATTTATTTAATATTTTTCCCCATTAATAATAAATATAATAGCATCCCATGTTTGTTTGATCATAAAGAGGGATTAAACATTATTAGAGGAATTATCATAATGTAATAGAACTGATAAGAGCTAAAAGTAATAAGACCGAGGAAAACCATAAAAATCTGTTTTTATAAAATTTATGTAATACTTTTGAAATACTTTTGGATAAATCTGTGTACTTAGATGATTTTCAAACTACCAATTGGGTTTATCCCACCTTGTTTTCTTGTTTTCCAGTTTTCACACTCCTTATATGAAAAATTGATATATGTTATTGTGGCAAAACATTCATCTTTATTCAGTTAGATTAAATAAGTGTTTTTTGATAGGTGTTTTTAGTAGAACTGGTTGTTTATCCTTTGACTTGTTAGTTTTACATTGAATGTGAGTGACTGCAGTTCTTCCAGCAAAGGAAAATATTTCTGGCATATCAGAAAATTTTGCTGCCTTAGCATCAGGGACAGTGACAGGTTACAGTGAAATCGTGAATAAAGGGGGAAGTTCAGTAATGTTACTTTATGATCATCCTAAATATTGTCGCGTATCGGGCGTATATCGCGACAAATAACTTCACGATGTATTCGATGTAGCGAATTTTATTTCACATTCGCACTTACAATCACCCAAATTACAGATTTACGGTTACTGCTATCTGCAGTATCACAATTAGTACACTCCAAATGCCAGAATACAACTGACTAGTTGCTGGCTAACTCGGCGGTAGCTCCAGGACTCACTGATTGACTCAGTACAACTCGACTCGGCGACTGTTACAGTACAACTCGCTGGNCTCGGCTTTGCGCAACATGTCACAATATATTAAAATTAGAAGGTCCTAACCAATACGTATGACATGTGGGCTTCTCTATAATTTATTTGATGATTGATAACAGTAACTCTTGACTGAATATCATCAAATGATTGGAGGGTAGAAAATAATGAACTGAATGGATATGGACAGAATGGATTCAAATGGTCCCACCTCCCTCAAAATTATGAATTTGAATGTGGCATTTTCATATTGTGCTATTCTGTCAGTATAAGATATGGCAGTTCTCTTTACCATAATAAGCTGCTTGCTAATTACATTTAGTATATACGTGTATATATATTAGTGTCTTAAATCCTTGCAAAAACAAGTTAAATATATAGAAGATTAAAGATGAAAATACAAAATTATAATGTACTGTCTATGGTAATTAAGTGATTAAGAAAAACAATTTGTTTTATAAGCACAGTAATGATAATACATGGTGTGCTGTTCCAGGAATTTCCCCCAGTTAACAATAAAGTAGCAAGAAAGCCTGCATCAAGGGTGATAATTACAGACGCAACATCAGAAACAAAAATGGAAGGGAAGCCAAAAGAGAATGCAGAAAGGGCAAACAGAACACAAGCAATTACGTAAGCTATCTGTTATGTTCGATGAATTCTGAATTGTGCATCATTTAAGTTGTTCCCACACACATTTTCAGCCTGAATTTGTGTTACAGAATATCATATTTTTAACATTCCACAGATTTATAGCATGGTGTTCATTATAATCTGTTTAGTCATTCTATTGATTATGCAGTAATAGCCATTTTTATGTTATAAAAAAGAGTTGTTCGCTTAATGACAGGGCATGGAAATAGGTCCTCATGTAGGGATCTGTTTAGACAGTTAGAAATCTTACCACTGAAATCTCAATACATATTTTCAATTTTGTTGTTTGTTTTAAAGAATAGAAATTTCTGTATTACTAATTATGATAGGCATAATGTGTAGACCAGGCATAGCAATAATTTATATCCTCCTACATCCTCCTTGACATTGTATCAAAATGGCATTTACTATACTGGTATTAGAATTTTTAATAAATTACTACCTGAATTTAAGGAGCTTGTACAGACGCCTAAAACTTTTAGAGTTCCTTAAGAAGATATTTGGTTTCACATTGTTTTTATAAACTGGAGGAATTTTATGTAAGATTTGAGGCTTTCACAGTGGTGACTATGAAGAAAGCAGTCTTCTGGGATTTGGCACCGTGTATATGTGGTGTTAACTGACGTTTTGGAGGAACGTATCGCCTCCATCTGGGTCTGGGTGGCAGACTGGGTCTGCTTTTACCGTTCTCACGGTCTTGTCGCTTGCAGATTTCTTATACTTTTTCTTCTACCCTGAAGATGGAGGCGATACATTCCTCCAAAACGTCGGTTAACACCACATATACACGGTGCCAAATCCCAGAAGACTGCTTTTTTCTTGGAGGAATTTTATTGTTCTGAATGGTTAATATGTTTTTTCATTTAGCATTTAAATTTTATTGTAATTATATTCAGTTGTGTTCAATGACTGTGTTATTTATATTTCATATTATGTTTACCTTGACTAGTTCCAATGATTAATTGGAACATTTGTTCTGATATGTGACTCATTCTATATCCAATGGTTTGTGAATATTATTTACCAACCTGTATCTGGATCTGCTTGAACTGAAATAAATTGAATTGAATCGTGTTCAGTTACCACTGCATGGCTTGCAGATTTTTTCTCAATATGAGATCATTGATGAGGTTACCTGCTGTCTTTCCCTGGTACTCTTCTTTTGGCACTTTTTACTTGACAATCAGACAATGACTTAGGTACATTCAATCTCGCAACAATTGAAATTACTTCTATCAGACTGGTAGACTAGGTGGATAGAATAGGCAGCCAAGGAGAAAAGTGAACATAATTCATCCATCACTATCATAACATTAGCAGTCAGATTAGCTTGTGATAGTTATTGTTATCAAAGACATGGCAATCATAATTAAAAAAATATATATATATATGCTTGCATTTAGGTACTTTAGTTATTCAGCATGAATGAACTGAGCATACAAAAGCCACCATAAAAGTATAGTAGACTTGTGTGTGGGGTTCATAAATGTTTCTCATTATGGATGACTTACCGGTGTCTAAAACTTAATACTTTTAACTTATTATTAATCTGTATTAATTAGTAGAGCTTAGTTAATTAAGCAATAATAATAATATGGATATGTGAACACCAGTATTTCCGATAACCCAGTTTTATTAGCCTATTGATTATAAAGTTTATTTATCATGAATTGGAAGTCAGAATCCACACAAGGCAGTTCAGTTGATTCTTTGTCAACCAAGAATAATTATACAGCGCTCTCTCATGGGATATAATGCCATGTACTCTGGTGAAAGTCATCTGGCATTTTGGAGGAGCATCCTCAATCTTCAGGGTTGAAGAGTAAGCCAAGCAAGAAACCATGCTTGAAGCAGGTAGAAGGCACTCGATGGTGTTATATCTTCATACTGTCCACTATAAGAACCTCAAATTCAACAAAGAATTATTATAAGTAAATATGTTGTCCCAGTGATAGTGACCCATTAGAATTGTCAAAGATATGAAATGATATTGTCACATGTTATTGACTAGACACTTGGTTTGGATTAATAGTTAAACTTATTGAACACCTACAACTTGTAACTCAAATAACTTTAACACTGTCACTAAGCTACACTCACTGTAGATCACTTCTGTAAGTACCATGTCTTCACTGGTCATTGATTGGTAACAGTGTCTGATAATGCACCTCAAGACCCTAACTGTTGACTTCCAATTCATGACTGTGGACTTAGCTGGTGTCTTCATTATACAACCTCAGTGTTAGGAATTGAGATTTCTTTCCCCTTTAATTATTTGACTTATGATCCATGACTGCGTAGAGTTTGCTCTACTAGTTGTTGCATGTTATCATTGCTTAGCAGCGGCTAGTAAACAGTCATTTCCATGTAAGGTCTACAACAGTGGATCATGTGCTAGTCAATCGCAACACCTTGCGCAGAACGGAATACATTGGAAATTTATTGTGGCAAATGCGGCTTGGTGGGGAGGCTGGTGGAAACTTCTGGTGTTGTACAACTCAAGCACTCCCACACAAGTTATCAAGGAAACTTCTGGTGCGATTACATCTCTTAGCAACGTCATGCAGAACGTGAGGAAACTTGTGGTGTTAGCGAGCCAAGGCACATGTGGAAGAAGACTAGGATTGAAGAACTGTGTCCAGGAAGAGACAACCAGATCCGAACTGTTATCCTTCAACAACCGGACAAAACAAGAATCAGGCATCCAGTGCAGCTGGTCATTCCTTTGGATTGACCAGGGTGGAGAGGATGTTAGGAATTGAGACTTCTTTCCCCTTTAATTCCTTGACTTTGATCCATGACTGCATAGTGTTTGCTCTACTAGTTGTTGCGTGTTATCATTGCTTAGCAACAGCTAGTAAACCGTCATTACTATGTAAGGTCTACAACAGTGGATCCTGTGCTAGCCAGTTGCAAGCTAGAAAGCATTCACTGCCTAGCAATAGCTGAGTAAACAGCCGGTGCTAGGAAAAGCCTACAACAATACGGACAGTGACATGTTTTCCATAGGTCAGACTCTAGGTTATATAAGAAGATAATTGAGTGGTGTAGACAGAAGCCAGTGGTTAGCCAGCATGGAGAGATGGACAGTTCTTCAGTCTAGTGAGAGTTGTGAAATGACTTGTTCAACATTTTATGTTATAGTTACATTGAACTGTAGGGACAGTGTTTAGTAATAAAATGATGTCACAAGAATACATCTCGAGGTCTTATTTCACAACATTTTTGGTGCCAAAACCCAAGATCGAATGAGAGACACCTTGGCTGGCGTCCTCATTATATATACAACCTCAGCATGGACCACATAGAAAATACTGCTTCCAAGAATTCTTCTATTGTTGAGTTACATGTTAAGTGGGCTATTGCCTAGTGATGTCCCGGGTATTGTTGACATGGGAGCATGTTTTGGTTCCCATGAAAACATGTTTACTACACCACTGTCTGGAAACGGATGACTTCTGGACCCATTATTCTGACTTCTAGCCATCATGTCACAGTATTATGTGTTTATGCTGCAAGTAACAGTAAAGCATCACTGATACATATTACTGAAACAAATATAATGGACAACACCTAAATCATTATGTGAAGCTCTGAGGGAACTGATTGGTTATTAATGTTCTGTATGTGTTTTAACGGTAACAGTAGGCCCAATTCTGGAAAGAATGGTTGTGATGTGACATAACCTTTGCACTTTTGTTTTATGCAATATGAAGCGCTGTGAGTTACGCTTCAGTTTATGAACTAAAATTGAGAGTTCCTATCAATATTGTTGTTTATTATTTTTGTTTGAAATTCTGAAACTGTTGTCACCTCTTTTAATAAGGCTCTTGCTGACCCATAGTGGGTGTCAGCTGATTTGATCATAATTCAGAGATATAAACATGAGTTACTGTATGTCTGCTTTTATCATCATTTGCAGGAATGGGACACGATCTGAAGCAAACCCATTTGAGGAAGAAGAATGGGATGAGGAGGGTGGAGAAGCTCTAGTGGACACAGGAGAGCCGGGTGTTCCTGTCAAAGCACTGTATGACTACGAAGGAGCAGAGTCTGATGAACTTAGCTTTAGACAAGGTGCGTGAATTGTCTCCATATGGAGTAAGACTTGATTGGCTTCTGAACCATACCTTAGCAGTCATCTATATAAATAAAAATGTAAACCAAATTTATAAATCCTAGCTATTATGAAAAATAGTGATAAGAATGAATTTTATTATGTATTAAGTGAAACACTGTAATATTGTATGAAAGAGGCTGTGTCTGTCACTTCTAAAGGGATGATTTTTACTCACTTGACAAATTCATAGTGACTGGTGCACTGCCGGCCACAAGGAACATGCATATTTTGCCAATGAATCAGCATGGCCGATAACCAATAACATTCAGAATGAAGTAGTTAACAATTCACAGATCACAGGAGGGGTTCAAAATGTCATCCTCTCTACATGTAGATATTTTTTGCAATTAATTGTTTCATTAAAAAACATAGGCGCAACATTCCTTCTTCCACTAGACTTGTCACACTCCATTCTCTTGTGCTAGACATTTCAGTGATTTTCTAGGTGTATGTTTAAGTCTGGCCCCTGTGTCATGTAACTTCTCGGTAAGCACTTGGTGCTTATGTTTTGTTTCTTGTCTGTTAAGAGTCCCATTGTTCTAAGTTTATTTACCAAACTAGCTGTACCTGGCCACAAATCGACACAGCCTCTGTTGTCTATCACCAAGGAAACCCTGCCAGAGTCAAATCCAGAACTCTGAGTGCAAACTCAGGATTTCTGCTGTGATTTCACTCGGAATCTCTTGTTATACTTGTGACCTCGTGGTACTCGAGACACTCGTGATACTGAACAGTCGCCGGAGCTACACTCTCTTATACATATAGCCAGCGTTCACACGGGATAGGGAATACCTTATCGAAGAGTTAGTTTCATCTGTTGCTTAGGAAATGCTAGCACAGAACACCCTGTAGAAGTGTTTGGTTTCATCCTTTGTTACGAAACGGAACCTCTTATCCTCTCATCTCCGGGGAAATGTGTTTGTTGTTTCGGCAATTCCTATGCAACGGCCCACTGTTATTGCGTTTCCATGGAAGTATACTTCCAGTTTCATCCATTGTTATGCAACGGAACCTCTTTTCCTTTAATCTCCGGGGAAACGTGTTTGTTGTTTCGGCAGTTCGTATGCAACTGTTATTGAGTTTCCATGGAAGTTCATTCTGTTGAGAACGAAGCAGATCTGAGGCTGCAGAATGCGATCGACGTGCTCGCAACTGTTCGTCCTCAAGTCTGGCTGCACGTCGCTCTGTTGCTTCCTCAGCATGTATTTGAGCCATTCTTTGTCTCATTCGCTTGTTTGCCCGTTCTTCCCCAGTTTGATTTGCAATTACTCGACGTCTTGCTTCCACTCCGCGAGTACGACGACCTAAGTTTGATCTTCTGCGAGGCATTATTTGGATGAACTAAAGCAGATCGATTGCACTGAAGAAGAAGAAAGAAAGTTATAACAAAAACATATAAAATTGCAAAACATTAAAAAAGGAAAGAACACAACCTGGAAAACGAAGGAACAAAAAAAAATAAAAAATACTAACGAAATATTTCAATTCAAACGCAGATCAATCGACACAGCTCACTCCCACCGCCAATTGCACTGAAAAATAAGGAGAACAGTTAAGAAAACGAAATGAAAAACAATGAAAAATAAACTATACTCACGAAATGAACGACGTATAACACGTTACAGTATATTAATATTGAGTACAATTAATATTTTAACAACCAACCAACCTGTCACAGGTGTGACATATGTCACACATGATTTTAACATCATAAAGTCTTAAAATACATTTTTAGTGAGTGACATATTCTTGATGTCTTTTAAATTGTTGCATTATTTACATGTACTTTGATAATAAAAACATGTCACGTGTTACCTATGTAATGTTGTTTTGGTCACGTGTCTCCTATGCAGTGCAACAAATAACTTCCACGAACGTCTCGGATTCAGTGAATAAGTTATTGAATGCTCACTTTTACACCAGCGAGTACAATTATTATCACGTCCAGTATCACCAAAAAACTCCTCGGAGCTGGATNGATGTCTTTTAAATTGTTGCATTATTTACATGTACTTTGATAATAAAAACATGTCACGTGTTACCTATGTAATGTTGTTTTGGTCACGTGTCTCCTATGCAGTGCAACAAATAACTTCCACGAACGTCTCGGATTCAGTGAATAAGTTATTGAATGCTCACTTTTACACCAGCGAGTACAATTATTATCACGTCCAGTATCACCAAAAAACTCCTCGGAGCTGGATTGTTATAACCTGGTTTCGGACGCAATAGAGGGCACTTTCGCCCAGTGTTCGATTTCACGTGTTCTGTGCTCATTGCCGCGGTTATTCCTAGGCAGCAATCTGTTGGTATTCACTGGACGACAGAACACCTTGTAGAAGTGTTTGGTTTCATCCGTTGTTATGCAACGGAACCACTTATCCTCTCATCTCCGGGGAAATGCGTTTGTTGTTTCGGCAATTCCTATGCAACGGCAACATTCTGTTGGTATTTGATGGACAACAGAACACCTTGTAGAAGTGTTTGGTTTCATCCATTGTTACACAGTGGAACCACTTATCCTCTCATCTCTGGGGAATCGTGTTTGTTGTTTCGGCAATTCCTATGCAACAGCAACGATCTGTTGGTATTCGATTGATGACAGAACACCTTGTAGAAGTGTTTGGTTTCATCTGTTGTTACGCAATGGAACCACTTATCCTCTCATCTCCGGGGAAACGCATTTGTTGTTTCGGCAATTCCTATTCAATGGCCCACTGTTATTGCATTTCCATGGAAGTATACTTTCTGGTTTCATCCGTTGTTATGCAACGGAACCTCTTATCCTATGCAACGGTCTGTTCTAGCATTACTATGTAAGTGACTCCTGGATTTCAAACATGTGACAGGTTTTTACCTGTTTTACCTGTCACAGGTGTGACATCTATATAATAGGTATATAAAAACACACGCATGTTCGAATGCAACGTTGTATCAAAATTTCAAAGCAATCGGTGAAGAACTTTCGGAGATCTTCGAAGGGTAACAAACCAACATTTACGTTTTTATTAATATAGATTGTGATTTATTTGTCTGCTGGGAATTATGTCATCATGAAATTTATGTCAAAATTTTTGCCGACACTTTCTAGCAGATCCATATTTCTCATAGTTGTCATACAGAAATACATGTTGCTCTAAAGTACAGAGCACCATGACATACCACACTGCTCACTAACTGAAGCTGAGAATAAATGGCTAATGGAGCTGAAAACTGCTGTGTACTGCTGACAAGTCATAAACAAACTCCCACACGTGCACCACACTGCTCACTGTGAAACATAATGCCATGAAGCGGTCTACAAGTTAATTATGTCCATTCATTCCAAATGTTATGGGCTGATTCAGCAGCAAAATCCATAAGCGCATCACGACAGGCAGCGCGCTGGTCACCGTGAATTCGTCAAGTGAGTAAAAATCCTCCCTGTAAAATCTGTATTGGTCTAAGTTACTGTCAGAACCTTAATACAGTCAGACTTTTCATTATGCACTTAGCAGATAATTGCTGTGCTGTAGCCTAGAGATTGAAGTTGCAGTTACGTGTAGACTGCCTCATCTCTTCATGTGTTTCTAGTTAACATTCCACCCTTGTCCCCTCTCTGCCACCTAGTAAGTGAAAGATGCTTTTTAAAATAATGTGAAAATAATCACTTCGTGCACTTAAAATCAGAAATATTCTCCATGTGCAGTGCTTCATTGTGTTGAGAGCTTAAATTTCTTCAGGGCTACCATTATTTCTTATTTTTCAGTCAAATGGCAAGTTGGTGAGTGTTAAAACATAACTCTCAGGACTAGCTAGCTGGTTGCTGATAATATTGGGAGTACAGGTTACCTATGCATAAAAAATTGCAACATGTGGTCTCACTGTAGGGTTAATGTTGTCATGAGTAATTATTATTTGAAACATTAATTTGTAGTTCTTATGACAGCAGCCAATATAAATTATCAAAGTAGTCCCCCCCCCCACAATTCTGTTGCTTTATTACAACTAGTATGTTATGTAGAAACTAGTATTTTTTCCTTTACAGGAGACGTATTTGAGAAGCTGGAAGATGAAGATGAACAGGGATGGTGCAAAGGCAGGAAGGATGGACGTGTGGGCCTGTACCCAGCAAATTATGTTGAAGTGGTATCACAATAACTTGATTATTGAAACTATACACAAAGTGCTTCCTTCCCAAGTGGAATGCTGGCCATTGTATACAATATTTTTCGTACGTTACAAGATTTGTGGGAGCTTATTCAGCAAGAATCTTGAAGAATAAGAAATTGCTTTGTGCAATTAGTAGTAGTTGTGTTTCATAGACTAATGTTTAATAGTTTTATTGACCAGAATACTTTGGATTGAATGCATGAAGTTCTTTTATTCACAGTGGAGGAAAATAAAATATGTAGAATACTGTATAAACAATGGCCAAGTGTTACGTTTTTTTTGTGACATTCCATATTTATGAATTTTGGAAAAGAAATTTTCTCGCCGGTTCTTGTCTTTCCTTTGATTCTTGTTTGCTCAATATGTATCCTACTGGGAATAGGTAAGAATTAAATTCTGAGCAGATTATAGTACCTTACACCAACATACAATTTGAAGTATAAGAGAGAACTCCATTATAAACATGCAGCAAGCTATGGTTTTGGTCAATGCTGATAATCCAAAACTAATTCTGCTCAAAGTAGTAATATATCCAGTCTCAGTGAGGACTTCGGAAGTGGCACTTAATTTTCTTTTATGGTCCTGTAACAGTTCTAATATTATAAAGAAAGCAGTTTCTTGTTCTTGAGATAATCGAGTGATTGTTAAATAGTTGTGTAAGTTCTGAACGTGAATTTGAGAGATTTAGACTCTCGTGACTGGCCAGCCATCTTTTGACCGTGACATCCCAGCTCCCCCAGTGCTACAGGAATACTGTGTTATCAAGAACATATCATGCATTCATGAACAGTTTCAGACAGAAAGTATAGCTGCTTCCAAGTCTGTGTTACTGCAACTGGTCTTGTACAATTGCATAAATTTCTGTGTATGAGACTTCTCTGCCATTCAGTCCAGTACATGTAATGAAGATACATATAAATATGAATTTGAGTTCTAAATATCGTGTATATGTTGAGTTTCAAAACCATTAACAGAGATTAAAGTATACAAACAAATGTAAAAGTGTACATTTTTCTTGGGTTTAGGTAGGTCATCTGCACAGATATTGTGTTGTTTAACCAGAAAAAAATGTAATATTACATCAGAATAATGAAGTTCATTGGTGCTTTTCATCATGTTAGCATTTTTAATTGTTGATTTAAAGGTGTAATGATTATTTAATTTTGAAATGTTTGAAGTATACATCCAAGAGTCCTGCTTGTCATGGAAATAGAATACCTATATTGGTTGTGTGATGTAAATTTCAGGAAAGTTTTACATTTCAGTGCAGTGAGATTTTGAAATGTGATTTCATTGATTGATGGACCATAGTTGTCTACAAAGAACAGTGAATATACAGTATCCTTTTTTGATCCATTCTTTTCAAGGGAACATAATTCTCCCTCTGGCTCATCTTTCTTTGTGGTGTTATACTGATTGTAATACCAATTTTGAACTGATTATACCCATTTCATTTCATAATCTTGGTTGTTTAAAAATTTGTTTGAGCTTTTTTGTTTTGATTCTGAAATTGTTAAAACTGGAGAAATATTATACAAAATCATCTTGTGTATGTAAGTTGTTGGTGGTTGATCTGCATTGATTTCATTGTTTCTGACACTTGAGTTCAGGAAATTTGACTTTTCTTTTTATGATGTGTGAAAGTGTATGTGTGTGAAGTTTCATATTGTGTGTGTATATGAAGGTGAAGCGTTTGAATTTTGAGGAATAAGTAACGGGATTCAGTATTGGTTAAAAGTTAAGATAAATTTAACAGAGCAATTAATGGGGCCACAGAAAACTAGATATATGTGGGAGTCATCTTTAAAAAAGAAAAGTAAGGAAATATAAAGTTTAAAGTCATATATAAGAAAAATGTTCACATACTTTGTCAGTTTAAATGCAAGTATTATACTTCTTCACTGTTTGATAGGCCTACATGCATGTTAAGTAACTAGCAATTATGTGATTATGTAAATATAATTCTGTGAAAGTCAATGTATACATTTTACTTGAGGGAAGGAACTGAGGAGGTGGTAATTGTTACTGTAACTCTGTTTATGCTAGCTGTCCTCTTAACCTCCAGTAACATAGGCTTTTGTATATTTTAGATAAAAGTGTTTGAATAAGAGTCTGTTGGAGTAATGAAAAATTCATAACATAATTTATATTTGCAGACTTTTGAGAGATTTGAATATCGTAATAATTGTAAACTTTTGTATCCTTCCCTCCACTGATTTCAGAACTTAAGGAATGAACGTGGTAGTACCTTAGTAACTTGATGCCTTCTTCCTTCTTGCATCATCATTGCATTTGGCTAAGGTGATAACATGAGAAAATTCCGTAAACATTTGGTTAGTGACATCTATATGAAATGGTTGTGCCGGTTTGTATACATGATTCATTATGTGTAAGAGAACAACCAGTCTCTTTGTTGTCGTCATTACCATCGTCGTCATCATCATCATCATCATCATGAGATATTTAAAAAAATATGTGAGCATATAAAGCTTAGTATAGTTGCCATTTGGCTGTGTAAACCTTTGGATGATATTATGCTTTATATACAAACATGTACACAGATTTTCATATGCCTAAAATGTTATTTGACCCTTACTGTCTCTTCCTGTTAACTTACTTCTGTACACACAACATGCTTTACATATGATGTAAGGTTTGGAACTGAGAAGTGCATTTACATGTTTCCACAAAAGTAATATGTACATACACTGCACTGGATTAAGTGAATCAGAAATCCTATTTGTATACAAGTTGAAGGAGCCATAACTAATAGTTGTGTTTGTTACATTATACCGGCAACCTGTTGCAGACAATTACCCTGTCTCCAGTCTTTGCTATTATATTGCCTGTATCATTTGCAGAGGCAGGAAATTATTATTATTGGGAAGTTATGGACATTACCTCATGATGCCACTGCTATCTAACTTGCCACAAAAATATTCTAATTGGTGTTTGTAATACTTCCTCGTAGAACTTTTGTTCATTCAGTTTTAGTTCCAAAGCTATAGTAAGCAGCCAATTTAGATTCAATTAACCTACCTGCTCCCCTGCCTTGTTTTAAAAAAGAGAATTTACTTGATCTGTAGGCAGAAGTGCTTAGGGCATGATGCACAGAGCCATACTAATAACACAATCACAAAACAGTGACTCTTAAAAGTGTTACATTTACCTGAAAGGAATTATTAGAGTTCAGGTGGTGTATTTTCTTACTAAGATGTGTATGCACGTGGTCATCAGAGTGATGTCATTTTGTTGACACACACTTTGTGAGGACTGTAGACTAGAAGTGCAGAAGGGAAGGATGACTTATGGTCAGATAATGAAAGTAAAGCTATATTGCCATACCTTTACTAAAGCAGCTGTGGTTTTGTTGAACAGCTCAGAATCCAAGAACATGAATCTCAGGTCCTTTGTCAGCTAAGTTTGTTGAACTGTCACTTCATTCAGATGTGTCAGTTGCACTGTCACTGCCTTGAGAGCATATAATGACATTGTCCCCAGATTCCTCTTCATTAGACCCATATTCACATTTAAAGGCATTTCACCCCATAAATAATGAGACAGGAACAGACCGACAGGTTGCTCAAGTATTCACATTAGACCAGCATTGAAATGTTGCAGCAGGTTCTATTTTGCAACTGACAAGTGTCAGCATTTCTCCCAACTCTGCTGACAAAGGGACAAAATGTGAACATCATATAATACATTCCAAAATATTTAGCCTGCTGAAGGTCCATTCTATCCCTTTCAGTATCATTATATATAGTGTGGATGAATCTTTTTTTATTTTAATAAATTCCATTTCAGTTCTATAGGACTTGTGGCATGACGGAGGAAGTTGCAACACAGGAAAACCTTTTCCTCTTAGATCTGTCCAAAGTATAAATAGATTGCGGTTTATACAATCTGACATTTTGCAGGAGTTCATTTTTTGTTAAGTCCACATCAAAAGTTGTATTATTTTGGACCCACATTATAATATGAGTTGAAGTAGTGGGAAGTTTATACTTTTTTTATATGGTGTTCATATTCACTCATTCATTAACAGTTAGAACAGAACTACCAAGTGACATATTAGGAATAAGGTCTTCCATCCATTTCTTATAATTTGTGCTGTTGATATCACCATGGTAGTTGTCCAGTTTTGATTTTGAATCATAAATCATTTGGTCCCTCCTATGAACTGCATGTCTCCATCAGCATGAACAACTGTATCCCTTCATCCTGCACTGCCCTTTACCATTGTACCTGGAACTTTTATGATGTTGCAAGCACTTTTTCACCATGTAGTGGGTGTGAAGTTCATATTCATATATTCATATTTTTATTGGTTCCAGAAATCCACATTTTGCAATACAGCCTCCAGATATAGAACAAGTCAAATTATTTGTATAAAAATCAACAGTACTATAGTATTTAACTACATACACAAATTGTGTACAACATAAATTCCCCAACACAGTAACCAATTCAATCCATTTCATATCAATCAATCAATCAATCAACCAATCCATTCTTCCTTCCTCGTCAAATCACTGTCATAAGAAAACGTTCCATACACATTAAACATACAATAGTTCAGTTTCTATAATTAAAAATAAATACCCCCCTTTCACAAACATACCATCTTTAATTTAACATATATACCTCTACAGAATAAAACGTATGTTGTACCAAATATGACCTCATTACTTTTTTTAAACTGCCTCATTTTTTCTATCTCCATAATTTTATTTGGTATTTTATTGTATAATTTTATTCCCATGTTCAGTACTCCTTTCTTATAGGCATTTGTTCTGCAAAACTGAGCATGGAGATTTAACTTTTGGCATGTATTGTGATTATGAACTACTGTACGTTATTTTGTGCTAACTTTTCCAAATGTAGTTTAACATGGCATACCGTTCCAAATACCGTATTTACGCATGTATAGGCCACACATTTTTTGCCAAAAATTCAAGAGGAAAACTGGGGTGCGGCTTATATTCGAAATATCCGAAATCACACTTCATTTTAAAAAATTTTATTCATAATTAGTAATACAGGGTGTAATACTCCTGAAATAATATTCCAAGGAAATTATTTTTTCTATAATTTCTGTCTGAAAATTGTGCTGCGGCCTATACACGCACGCGGCCTATACATGCGTAAATACGGTATATACATACAAGGTAGTGAAGTAAGTTTAAATCCTTAAAAAGTTATCTACATGATGCTAATCTACTCACACACCACTAATTATTCTAACAATCCGTTTCTGAAATTTAAATATAATTTTACTTTTTGGGTCGCTACCCCAGAAAATTTAACCATACTTCAAATAAGCATGGAAGTGAGCAAAGCAAATACTCCGTATAACCTGTCGACTTGTTACATCCCTAAGGGATTTTATCATGTAACAGACTTTATGAAGTTTTGAGCTTAAGAACATCATATGTGCTTTCCACTCCATATGCTCGCCAACATGTATACATAGAAATTTCGTTTCACATTTATAGATCTCCATTTTGCCAAATTTGATTTGAGGTTTCATCAGATCTCTTTCTTGTCTATTATGAAATGCCATTGCTATTGTTTTCTCAGTATTCAGTATAAGATTATTTGCATTGAACCATCCATATACCTCATTCATGACTTTATTTATCTTTTGCTGCAGGATATTTCCCTTTTCAGCTGTTACCAAAATATTTATATCATCTGCAAACAAAACTATCCTCGCCTCTTTGATATTCAAAGGCAGATCATTTATGTAAAAAAAAAAAGTAATAATGGTCCAAGCTCTGAATCCTGTGGTACTCCATATTTAATTTCTCTTGGAGCCGATGTATATTTTTTGCCATCACAACTTATTTCAACAACTTGCTTCTGGTAAGCCAAATATGATTTTAAGTCTCATCTGTATATATGGTTGGTTTCTTAGTCCTTTCTTATTAGTTTTAGAAGCCATCAAGTATGTTATTTGATGAGTAACATTATTTCATCTTTCAGTTGAAGGAGATCATTTGTTTTTACATTTCTTCATACTGAACATGATCCCTTTCACTGTTTTCCAGAAAATTTCTACCCAGAAATACTATTAGAGGAGAAATTTGTGCAAAATTGGAATTTATTTTTTTCAGCTCATAGTATTATATAGATGTTCTAAGCACAGAACACTTGCAGAATCATCCAATGTAATTTTTGGAGATAGTGAAACTTCTCCCCTCACCTTCTTGAGCATTTGCCAAGTTTCTGTGTATGTTTTGCCCCAATACAAATCCCCGCCTTATTTTTTTTTCTTTATAAAATTGTGTGGTCTTGGGCAGTATATTTCATTACATCACTGAACTTTATTATGGACCCTTTTCATTCATACAGAAATTAGAAGGGTCATCGCATTGATGGTGAACCTGTTAACAGGGCCTGGTTTAATCATCATTGAGTAGCTAACAAATAGGAATTAGTATGTGGGAGAAACTTATTACCTCGCATCAGATATGACACCATGTTTTATATAGGTCAGTGTTAGAGGTATATTTATTTAATGCTGCTCATACTACTTGTCACAGAGTGGTCTGCCATATCAGCCACTGACATTTACACCTTGGTTGACTTGTACAGTATGACAAAACCAGCTTATGTGGACTTATATTTGTGACAAACAGTTTCCTTCCACATTTGTGGTTTTGTTCTTAATCATCAGATTCTTTTATTATTTCTGATAAAAGTAATGGTTAACAAGAATATCAGTATATCTCTATGAGCTGGGTTAGTCCAGGGTGAGACTGCTGGGGTTCAGTGTCCATCGGAGGTAGTTTTCTTCTCACAGAGTTCAGACCAGATCTGAAGCCAAGTCTGCCTTCTGTCCGTTGAATAGCAAGGGCACACATATCCTGGGAGTTAAGCAACTGTAGCATAAAGCTGATGATTCACTTCCATCTGAAGGTAAGGTTAAAAACATATGGAGCTTTAACTCCCCACTCCATATTTCTTCATGGCATGATGCTTGAACAGAGAGAACTTTACTCATCAGTAAGTCTACATCTTTTCCTTTTTTTTACATACATGTATAAACTNAACTGTAGCATAAAGCTGATGATTCACTTCCATCTGAAGGTAAGGTAAGTCTACATCTTTTCCTTTTTTTTACATACATGTGTAAACCAGTTCACATGAATGAAACCATCTGTGAAAAATGGTAACATCTGACACACAATGTGTTAGGGCCATGGAATGGAGTGGTCAACACTTGGTATTCTCCCAAACCTTAATGATGTATCAGCTGAGTTTTTCAAAGCTGCAAACCAGTTTGAGCTTGTAACCTGATACTACTACTACTACCACCACCACCAATACCACATTGTTTCACTTGTGAAGACTGAATCTATCCATGTCATCTTTTTACATTGCTCATTTATGTGCTCACTGCCCTTTTGATCTTGTGATGTGAATCTAGCCTCATATCTGTTGGGAGAGTCCCAGTATATTTGCGAGTGTTGCAATGTAGAAATATTGTACGTAAAACAAATGCATTGTTCAATGTTTACTTTGTAATCTGTTACTCCAAACTGTCTCTGAATATACCTTCTGCCCCTAGTTTTGCATTGAAATCGCCTAACAATGTCTATATGTCTTGTTATGGAAAGTGATCACACATTAGTTCCTCATAAACGCTGTCTTTTGTACATTATTTTCATCATTGGAAGAGTTATGCTCACTCAGAATATCTTGCCAACATTCTCTTTGTGTTATATATGACAACCTATGATTCCCCTATGCATGAAAATCTGATCCTTAATAGTATAAAAGCCGGTCACGGTAGCCAAGCGGTCTAAGGCATTCACTGTCTTCGCTCACTTGGAAGCCGGGATCGTGGGTTCGAATCCCACTCGGCATGGGTATTTGTGTGCTTTTTTATGTGTTTGTGTACAGGTAGAGGCCTTGTGATGAGCTGATCACCCACCCAAGGAGTCCTACCATATGTGTAAGATCTAGAAAAACCAAAGTGAACGGAGAAGTTCATGGAGGTAGGCCTAGGCCCACTGGGGCTGTAGTGCCAAGAAAAAAAAATAGTATAAAAGATTATTAATGCCATCCAGAATGATTGAAATATGTGTTTTTTAATCGTTCATCTTTTACATGTTTCAGTTGGAATGACCATCAACAGAAGGACATTATCAGTACATACAGAAACTACTATTACAGTGTCATAGATATAAAATATTATATCCTTTAACAATTACTAAGATGTGCATAAATTTGTTAAAACATTTTAAATGATTATAATTAGTCTAATTACAAAGTAACGTATAAAAAACTTTTCGTTCAAATCTAGAACTAGTTTGGTTCATGTCCTTATACTTCTCTGTAAAGGAAGATGATTGTATTCCACATTGTGGTTCCGTTGTTTGAACAGTAGGAGTCTTTGGTGTTGTCCCGTTGTTCAGGCCAAGCAAGATACCAGCCTGAAGCAGATAGAAAGCAGAACAGTTGACTTTGAGCAGACTACATGGCTCTATATTCCAGAAGATAGAATATATAATTATTAATATATATAATTATCTGCTGATTCAGTACAATATGACGTCCAATACCCCACCTAATCTAATTGATACTTATAGTATTCTAGCACCCGTTTTCAAGAAACCNCCCCCCCCCCGTTCACATTTTATGTTGCTTGGGTCATTCCAAAGATACCATCTACAACTGAAGGCCTAGTGCTGCATTTTATAACATGCTAGCTTTTTTCTATGGTGACAAGATTTTGTAAGTGAAAAAAAGACACCATAAGCATGAATGGCTTAATGTAATCTTCTACAGCATGAAATGAC